GGGAGGCACCGACTAGAAGGTCATCAAGGCAATGTTTCGACATCGAACGTAAAATCCTAGCTTACGAGAATGAGATCGGTGCCAGAAAGATACTGGAAGCGTTACATATTCGCACGAAAATTTGAGACCCGAACAAGCGAAATGAGTGTCTGGCCATAACAAGTGAACTCTTGCCGTTCATTCCCTTTTGTAGACTTTGAGTTCACCCGCACAGTTCTTATCTTAAGATCATCAATGGTGTCTCATTGATCCCTTGTTGTTTACATAGAGTGGGACGTAACACTGGTGGGACCGCAGAAAGTTGGTCTTTTTGCTGGAACCTTTCCGTAATTTTGTTCCCGGGAGTCGTTGCAACTAGCCTAGCGCGTTTGGGCGCCTGGTCGGGTAAGTCACAGATCAGGAGCTTCGAACTATCTTCAGGTCCTAAAGACGACGATTCAGTCGCAACGTTGACCAATAAAGCGGTTCAGCCATAACAAACCTGCACGGCAAAGCAGTACTAAACATTATGTAAAATGCCCAGGTTCAAGAGGACCGAACATTGAAGTTGCTACCTTTTACGATTTGTTGGACTTTGGTGCTCATGCAACACAATGTTCGATCACTGACCGTAATCATCCACCTCTTTTCTCACAGAAAAAAAATCACTTGGCCTATCCACATCCATATTAGTATATGATTAGAGGTTTTCTTTTGATAATAGTGGTTCCTTCGTTCAGTCTACCATAAGGTGTCTATTTTGAGAGTAATAATGAAAGTCACGACACAGGATTTTTTAGGGGTGGCGGAGGACGCGTGGAAATTGTTGCATCTTGAAAAATATAAGACTTCAAAAAAAAAGTAGCAAGAGAGGGTGTTGTACGAGGTGGCCGTCTGGGTGTCTTTCACATAAGCATACTCTCCCTCTCGAGTGCATTAGTAAGAAGGCCGACATAACACGCCACTTTGAGCCTCTCCGTAGGTCAAATCGATTTGAAAGTCTCATTACTCCCTGTCTAGTCCGTTTTTCTTCTCAACAACGGCCCATGCACTACTCTGGAAGGGGTTTATTCTATGGTTCACACTAGCACGAAATATCGGAAACCATTTCTATCGTGAGCTCTGCCTTTAAAGATTGCACAAGTGGAAAGTTAACATTCGGAGTTTACTTTATGTCTCGTATTCTGCTATTCAGCAATTCTGCTAAAGAAATCCGTCATCAATGCCCTCCCAAAGTATTCGATGTTTATTTGTATTTTTCCATGCATTAAGGGAACAAATTCAACTATTGCCTATTTCCGGATACAAGAGGTTACGGACCTGCAATGCTAGTATGCAAAATTACGATCCCTGCAAATGAGCCGTAACATCGGTTGGTCATTGCCTTCTCTCTCTAGGGAGGGTAAACTATCTCTTTCCAACTTTTAAGCAAAAGTCCCATTTTCAGATGTGCCTTATGTTCAGAATCGTACATAACTGGCCACAAGCTTATAAATTGCAAACTTATATCCACAGAAGGATTGGAGCTATTTCAACTAACGACTCTCACAATTATTAGCAGCTGTCTGACATCGGTCGATGAGAGGGCTGTTAACATGTTGGTTGTCTTCAAAAACTCTCAGATTTCAAATCGGGAGCGGCCTTTCTTTATTTTTAGGAAAATTTCTTGTGAGGGGCGAATGAAAGTTCCATGTACAAAGGTATGTTAATGCAAAGGATGAGACGAAACTGTGCACTATCAGACTTTCCAGCCCAGAACGTAGCTTTGAACTCTCGCTGCGAGTCTTTCTGACACCAGCAAGTTACAGCGGAGTTACTGCCTCGGCACTTCGTTAGGCTGAAGAAGTCCTTTCGTAAGCGGAGATTCACGGCGAACTTCGACTTTCGGATGACATTCATCCACCACCGCTGTTTATTGTGGTTCACGAGAGCACTTACTTCTCATCTCTGACGTCAATGTAATGTGACTAGTCCAAACAACAGACTTAAGAGGAGAGTCATTGCACTGAGTCTCTATTGCAAAACTTATTTCCTCCATAATTCATGCTTCTTTCCAACTATGCTAGGCTCACAGCCCTATCAAAGCACCTCATCCCTCAAGATGGTTAACGCTTCGCTGCGTATTTTTCTTCAGACAACTGTACTAGCCATTCTACATTGAATTCCCCCGGACAAAAAAGCAGTTGTTACCTCCAAAACTGCATCTATACTGAAGATTCACCTAGACCACAACTGAGGGATTGTTTTCTTCTTCTCTTTTCTTGAGAGGCTCGAAGTTCGAGCGGGGCTTGCTTACTCCATTTTTCAAACAAAAATCGAAAAGGAAGCCGTAGAGAACACGAAATTCAGGCCTAGTCCTAACATAGGTTTTTAACACTCCTGCACAATCTTACTGCATATGTACCATTCATTCGAAAAGCCGCAACTCTTTACTATGTTTCAAGTCACTACGAGGGATAGCCTTGAATGTTGTTCTTGACCGGGTCAACAGTCAAGTGAACAGACAAAAGTAACCCTGGAGATCGATCATCAAGTTCTGTTGGCCTCCCCAGTTATCGGATGAACTTAGAACAGATCGGCTCAGAAGATTCATTTATTGTCGAAGAGACTCGGGTCACAACTAATGCTAGTGGGTGCAGTAGCCTCCTTGAAGAATCGAGTTTGTTCCTTTTGTATTTTTCTCTTTGAATTAAGTAGTTAACTTGTTAGTCATCAGTTACCTTTTTGTTTGCGGTGAGAGGAAAATCCTATGAGCCGAGCTCTGCTCATCGGATGTGTGAGATGCCACTGAAGACAAATCGGAACGCTGCATCACCTGAAATCGCTTTAAAGCTTACCAGCTATATGTAAGAGGCGCGTTGAGCAGTTTTCTCTACTGTCACTCTATAATTAATAAATTCCAAGAACCCGAAAGGAACAAATGAGGTCTCTGCGCATACACTCCATATTTACACATGAGTTTGGAATTGATGGTGGAATGCTTTAGGGCTAGGTCAAATGTGAAAACATCAGCCAGTGGCTATGCTTGTAATGTAAGATAAATAAAGCGCCCACCTGTGCATTTGCAGAAAGAGCTGTATCCCTGTTTTCGCACTGGCTGCAAATAATGTCTGGGCATGGGCGCACTGGAGCTTCAAGGGAAGAGTGTGGCCTACGCGCTGGTCGCAGGCTTCGAGCTCGTTGTCGCAAAATACGAAACCCATCACGCAGCTCTCCGACTCCACGTGACATGAACGACATTATCGAATCCGAAGAACAGTGCAACGAGGCTTCTACTGAATGAGATCTAAAAGTTGTCATTCGAGTACCAGCTCACGTGGAACATGATCGCGGCCGACAAAGGGGATTAGAATAATATCAAAAATAAATTGTCCGAATTACTTCCAAGTACGGCTTTCTATGAACCTCGGCATAACTGTATTATTGA